TTTTATTTAACTGGTTAACTTAAGTCATTATATGTGACATATGTAGAATTCGACATAATGCATCGTGGGTGCTAGATACCTCAAATAAAATCATCAATTTTATACCAAAATTGAATTTTTAAATTTTGCCAAAATTTATACCATAAATTGATTAATAAATTTACAGAAGTAAAATGTTTAAAAATTTCGAAAAAGATTATCATATTTAGTAAATTTAATTTTTTGAGACGAATTTTTAATTTCTATGTCAACTATAAATACAGTATATATATATATATATATATATATATATATACACACACTATTATATATATATAAATACTGTATATATATATACAGTATATATATATATATATACACACACTAATTTTTTAAAAACCTAATAAATCTTATCCCGAATAAATATACACCAAATTCAGGATAATATAAGATTTGAGTTACTATACATACTCGTAATAATGAAAATTTTAGAATTGGGAAAGAAAATAAGTATGGAACAACATTTATAAAAAATTAAACGTTGAGAAATGAAAACATATGTTTATGAAGATTTGATAAAAACTATATAATTAAGGTAGTTATATTTAAGTGTTATTTTTTCTGATTAAAAATGGAAATCAATCTATACATAACAAAAATACACATGATTGCTTACAAACATTGACATTTTCTATACATTTTGTACATATTTAATTGAAAGAATATACATTAGCCCCAATTTTTGACAAAATCTACTTTGTATGATTTAATTGACTTGTCTAATTCGAATTTACAAAGAATTGCCGCCACTTCTTAAAAGTTTTCAAAAAAAAATTACTAATAAAAGTAAAAATGAAAGTTTTAGGCGGGAATTCAGTTGCTATTTCAGGTAAATGTCAAACCTTTTTATATTTATATAGATAGATTTAATTGAAAAACGTATTTTCAGAATACGTTTTCAATGAAGGGTACACCATGCGGTACAACCCCTGCGGTACAAATAGCATTTTCCTAAAAAATATGATTATAAAAAAATAATCGATTTTAATAAAAAAATCATAGAATACAAGGAGATGAAATGAAATGCAGAACACTTGTGGGCACTTATGGAGCAATTACGTAAATTAGTTTTTACAAGACAGTTTGAAATTTAGCAACTTAAGGCTGCGCGGGAAAAATTTTGTCCAAGAAGGTAATAAAGCGTTTGGAATAGAAGCTCGGTTCGACAACAGAAATAGAGAGGGGATCGTACTTGATGGATTTACAGGCGTGCTCCAGTTTCTTTTTCATGTTGTACTCCTGTAAAATGTCGATTATGCCCAGGTACAGGACGACATCATACACCTCGAAAAGCTCAACCTCGACCGAGTCCGTCTCGGCTTGAGTGATCTTGTGGTTTGCCTGTGCCGGCATGTTTACCCCTAATTGCACCCTTAATCTGAAAAAGATAAAAAAATTTAAAAAAATTGAACCCGGGTAAAAAATGTATGACGAGACGAGACGAAAAGGGTAAAAATGTAAAATGAGCACCTTCCAGTGCCGGGCAAGAGGAGGTCAGCTTCTTTATTGCCAATAGAGTATGCTTTCAATGTGCTTCCTCGTATGTGTGGGCCCGGACTGCTGCTCACACAACCCGGCTCGTGACTCACCAACACCAAACCCTTTGGAGGTATTAACACTTCTCCTTGGGTTATAACACCTTCAACAATCGACAAAACACACCACTTTCTCAGGGATCTAAGCAAACAAATAATCAACAAAGTTATTACAAACAGGATACCAACCATCAACGCCATTAGTATTCTCAGGATCCGAAAACAATCTTAGATGCTCGGGTGCTCTAAAATGCAAACCCAAAAGAAGGCTATAATCTATGATCTGTTGAGATTCCAAGAATGCTGCATCCAGGGATAATTGTCTGCATAAAATAGGTAACACAACTTTTACAATAATGTACAACTATGAACCGGAGATAATTGCTATGTTATGGTCCCATATTAGCTGTGAAAGCTAATTGTCGTTCTTTTGTTATACGCGAAAGTCTGATAACACGTATAAAGAAACTTAGAGGGAAGTTACCTAAACAGTGATTCATGCAACAGTTTGTCCATATGAAACTCATAATTCAAATCAAGATCTTTCAGTGTAGTGCTCTCATCAATCTTTTCTTTCTTCGTAAACCTCCCATGAGACGAGCCCTTTAAATCGTAACGGCGATGTATGTGTAATTCAGTACAAAACATATTCCCCATGACCACAAAGCGAACCTGAATACAATCACAACCCTAATGAGAAGTATTCGTGTTTACTTGAAGTAAGGGGCTACCCCCTTTATGCATTCGAAGAAAAACATTCATGCAAGAAAATACGTTGCATTTACGGATCAAAAAACCTTTTTTCCATGTTTAAGAGTAATCCTGTGTGCCCCAAAGAACTTGGTTATGAGGGTATTCTCATGCGCTTGCACGTGCTCGTAATAGTGAGGCAGCATCTTCAGTAACACCTATGCAAGATTGAAAACAAGCCCAGTCACTTAATTTGCATGCATAAGTTCATTGAGCAACATAATTTATGCATTATACAGAATTATGATTAGTGGACTGAATGTTAACTGAATTTTAGTCTCGATACCATGAAAAATATGCCTCTTCAGCTAGAATGACAATACCGTAATAGATTCACCATATTCATAAGAGATTTAAGTAAACAGACAAATAGTTGAAATAGTTGCATTCTCTGTACCTTCAGCTCAGGTTTTTTCAGTGTTTTAATTACGAATTTATCATCATGAGAGAGATAGAAAAGGCTTCCACTTTTTCCAGGGGAAGAGAGCTCTCTAAGACCATCATCACCGCAAATAGACATCATATAGTCTGCAGCGTTTAACCTGAACAACTCTCTAAGGTTCCTGAAAATCGTATCAGAAGGAGTTATGATAGAGTCAATGAAACGTGCATTCATCTTGGATATGTAAGACATGCATTCCGACGTTTAAGCAGTTTTTAATAAAGACAGTTCAATTAATAAGCCGAGAATACTTTAATCTTTCGTAACATATGAAGTAGAAAATTTTGTTGGGTTAAGCATAAAAACATAAAAGAACTCAAACTCTTTTCCTATACTCTTACCAAGTTCAGCAGGAAAACATCTCAAGTAAACTGAATGATCGAAACTACTATAGGCACATCAACCATTTAGTAAAGCTATAATAGACTTTATTACGTAAGCTTATACTAGTTAAAAGGAGTCGTCAACTGAAGCCCCTTGCTAAACTTTCTGGTTTTCATTATGTCATGTGTCTAGTCCAATGAGACAGCTAAACCCTATTTCAGAATATCTTGAATGTATAAGCCTATTAAAATAATTCGTAGACTTAGGGTAATGTTAAATTTGTATTCGTCTTTTACATTGCTAAAATGGTACGGGATCTTGGCACTTACTTTTTTTTGTCATAATGTCAGATTGTTAGTATCATTTTCTGTGCAAACTAAACGTTAATCTTGTTAAAACTGCAATCAGAGCTTATAGAATCCAATCAGATCTAAGCAAACATCAAATGATTAAACGAAATAATAGATACCTGAAAACCATGGGGCAGTAATCCTTCCAATAAAAGTCAATTGATTTGTGAGGAGGAGTCAACTGAGAACCCTTTCTAGGGAAGTACATCTTTATCCGTGCTTGTTTACCAAAATCAGATGATCTGACTTCCCTCATAGGAACCGGTGTGATCTTCCCAACAGTATACCTGTCAACTTCATATAAGATATTTGAATCATCATCAACATCAACATACCCAGTATATTCCCAACAGGTTGGGGTCTGGGGGGTCAGTTGTACGCAGACCTTACCCTTGTAATTATACAAGGAG